CAGTATTCCTCTATTATCCAAGGAAGTGTCCTTCTCTGTCCTGATAAACCATAATATAGAGTATCAAGAAAAAATGAGAGATAACAATGAGTATTACAAGTTGTTTGAGATGGCCTTAAGATAGTTTATTGTTTTTAGGAAGAGGAACCGGGACTTGCTAATCTGAATGTGCACTGGGACTTGTGACAAAGTGCATCTTCTTTCTCTGTGAACCAATCTTGCAAAATAATTGAGGCAAAAGGAAAATTAGAGAAGTGAGATGTGCCTGCTCACTTATGCTTAAATGGAAGCTGTTTTAAAGATGGAATCACTTTTTTTTACGTTATTTTTTCTGGCTGATTTTTAATTTTGAAAACATTTTTAATTTAATTTTTTCTCAATTACATGTAAACAAAAATTTTTAACATTTTAATTTTGAGTTCCAAATTCCCTCCCTCTCTTCCTCCCTGGAGAAGGCAAACAATTTGATATAGATTATACATATGCAGTCATGAAAAATAATTTCATATTAGCCATGTTGCAAAAGAAAGCATAGACAAAAAAAAACCCAAGAATGATAAAGAAAGTTTAAAAATCAGGCTTCAATCTGCATTCAGACTCCATCAGTTCTTTCTCTGGAGGTGGATAGCATTTTTCATTGTAAATCCTTCAGAACTGTCTTGGATCATTGTATTTCTGAGAATAGCTAAATCATTCACAGTTTTATTGTATAAAATAGCTGTTGCTGTGTACAATGTTCTCTTGGTTCTGCTCAGTTTATTTTGCATCAATTCATGTAAGTCTTCTCAGGTTTTCCTGAAAACATCCTGCTTGTCATTTCTTACAGCACAATAGTAGAAGGGATAACTCTTGTGGAGAAGACAATACAGGGCTCCTCCCTTTGCTTCCATACTAGAATCAAGGCGTGTCAGAGCTGGAAAGGAACCCAAGATCATCTAGTCCAATTCCTTCGGCTCAGGAAACTGAGGCCTAGAGTGTGGGGAAAAAACTTGCTCAAGGTAACACAGTGAATCAGTAGTGGAGTTAGGACTAGAATTAATGCCTCCTATTCCCCAAGCCAGGGTTTTCCTCACCACTCCAAGCTGACTCCTACTTCTTTTTTATGTAAAATTTTTAAAAAATTGAACTTAAACATCAGATAAAGAGCATTTCCATACACACAACAGAACACAAAAATAGGGCTGTATATGAAAGCATGAATCTCCATTTCACACCCCTTTTTTTTTCCAGCCAAAGACAAGGTTTATTAGAATATCCATCAAATTAGTCAGACTCTTAATGAGTCTGAACATTAGTGAGCTATTGGCTAGATTGTAAGAATCTGAGCCCATACCACTTTTTTTTTAAAAAAGTATATAATAAATTCCTCAGATTACTTTCAAAACTGTCCTAGTTTCTGCTTCCTTCTGAGCTTCCTTCTGTCCTCTTCGGTGCATTTTTACAAAAAGTTTCAATGGCCCTTTTTGTTGGCATCAATATTGTTAACTCTCCCTCTCTCTGAAATGCTACCCCCTCCCAAACTAAAAATAAAGGAGAAAAAAAAAAACCTTGCAACAAATAAGCCCAGTAAGCAAAACAAATCTATACAGTAGTCATGTCCAAAAATGTGCGTCTCTTTCTGTCCCTTAAGACTGACCTGTCAACACCTCCTGTCAGAAGGACTTTTATCACAGTCCTGAGAAGTCATAGTTGGTTATTGCATTGATCAGAGTTCTTTGAGTCTTTCAAAGTTGTTTTTTCTTTACAGTGTTATTGTACTTGTATAAAATATTTTCTGAGTATTGCTTACTTCACTCTGCATCAATTCATATTTAATAGGGTTCTTTGCAATTGAGTCTTTCATCATTTCTTACAATACAATCTTATTCAATTATATTCATATACCACTATTTGTTTGACCATCTCCAATTGATGGGCATCCCCCTAGATTCTCATTTTTCCCCCTTTTTAGTCCTTCTCTTCAAAATCAAGGTTTTTTTTGTTTGTCTGTTTGCTTTTTGCCTTGCTTTTATTCCCTCCTCGGTATTATCTTTCCTCAACCCCATCCCCCATTCTCATTCGTTTCCCTATTGATTTTGATGTATTTCTACACCAAACGGTTAATATGTGTTCAGTCCTCATTTGTCCATTTCAGATAAGTGAGGTTCATCTGACGCCTGTTCCCCTTATCTCTTCCTCTATATCTGAACATTCTTTTCATTCATCACAATGAGAAATAGCAAGTTCCACCCCCTTCCTCCTCCTTTTTACACTAGTGTATTTCTTTTACTCTCCTTTCTCCTCTTAAAGCCCTCAGAAGAGAACTAATCCACCCCACTGGGTCCTGTCTTTTCATTTAACTCCCTCAATACCCTTTGAAGACATTAAAGGTTTTGAAGAGACATTGGTTTCTTTTCCCTCTAACAGAATGTTAGCACTACATCGTTATACAGTCCCTTCCAATTCTTCAAATAAATTGATCCTCCTAGGTTTCTCTTAAATCTTGTGTTCGCATTTCTGAGTTCTTATTTAGTTCTGATCTGTTCACTATAAATGTCTGAGAATCCTCTATCCCAGGGGTGGGGAACCTGTGGCTTTAAGGTCACATGTGGCCTTCGAGGTCCTTGGGTGTGGCTTTTTGACTGAGTCCAAGCTTTACAGAATAAATCTTTTTATTAAAGGGATTTGTTCTGTGATATTTAGATTCAGTTAAAGGGCCACACTTGAGGACCTAGACGGCTACATGTGGCCTCGAGGCTGCAGGTTTCCCACCCCTGCTCTATCCCATTAAAGTTCAATCACCAGTCCATAGGATTTATACTCAGCTTTTCTGGGTAAGTTATTCTTGGTTGTAAGTGTATATATTTTGCCTTTTGGAATACTATGTAGCAACACCTCTCATTTTTAGTAGAAGTTGCTAGGTCTTATGTGATTCTGATTGCAATTCTTTGGTACTTAATATGCTTTCTCCTCTCCCCTCTACCCCCTCTCCCCTCCCCACCTCCACTAGATACTTGCAGTATTTTTTTTCATTGATGTAGGAACTCTGAATGTTGGTTATCACAATCCTGGGACTCTTACTTCTGGAGTTTTTCAGGAAGCAATCAATGAATTCTTTTTATCTTCACTTTGTCTTCTGATTCTAGTAGATATGGGAAGTTTTCTTTTATGATTTCTTAAAATATAATATGCAGGTTTTTAAAAATCACAGTTTTCAAGAGGTATGATGATTATTTAATTCTCCTTGATCTGTTTTCAAGGGGAATTCTTACCTTTTTTATCTTAATTTTGTTATAATTATTTCTTGAAGTATCATGAAGTCATTGATTTCTGGTCTATTTTAGTCTTCAGGAAGTCCATTACTTTGGGAAAATTTTACCATTTTCTCTTCTAAACTATTTTCTTCTTCTAATGCTTTCTCCTAGAGCTCTTATTTCATTTTTTATCTCTTGCTTTATTTTGTTCGAGGTATTTATGCAGTCTGTGGAAAGCTCCTATTTTCCTTTGAGTCACTGCTTGAATTTGTTGTGGAGTTACACTCTCCTTTTGGGGGATCTCTTGGTGATAATATTTGATACTGGATGGTGTTATCTTTATTTACATGTTTCTCTATCTTTAGTCCTGGAATTGAGGCTTTTGCCATGCCAGAGCTATGGGGTTGGAGGCAAAAGACCTGGGTTTGAATCCTGGTTTTGCTAACAACTACCTATATCAGCTTGGCCAAGTTATTTAACTAATTAAGTTCCTTTTAACTTTTAACCCAATGAACTATAAAGTACCCTATAACAAACATGGTTCCTGCACTTTGTGTATTTTGGAGATCCTTGTAAAAAAAAAATGGCCATTGACTAAATTGTGTAATCACAAGAGTTACCAAGACTACAGATGACTGCAGAAACATTCTGCCTCTGATCTCTGTCTATAAGAATTTGTGAAAGTCTGACTCAATGATTAGCTATTTTGAAAAATACTGGTACAATCAAAGGGATCAATCATAAATAGGTTATCAATTCAATATGATCAAAATGCTTCTATAACTGATGATATAATTGGTAAAAAGTTTTAACTTTGCTTGAGTATACAATCGTTCCAGGAGAATGGTTACAGAATTACAACTGAGAGCTAAAAGTAAAATTAATATTTTGGAATTTGGATCCCAAAATGGGAAAGGTTCTATTTGTTTTTATAACCTCTGAGGACAAACAATGACATGTTGGACATTCAGCTACCTAATCAGGATAGTGCCCAGAAGACAAGATGGCAAGGGAAGCAGAGACCATGCCATATGAGGATAGATTGAAAGAACTGGTGATTATTCATCTGGACATTAAAATATTTCAGGTGGACATGAAGGTTATCTTCACATATATCAGGTGTTGTCATGAACAAGATGGAATGCACTTGTTCTGCTTGACCCTAAAAGGGAAAACTAGGACCAAGAGGGATAGCTACAGGGAGACAGAGTTCAGCTCAGTATATGAAAAAGAGAAGCAACATGCCATGGTAAACAGAATGCTGATCTTGGAGTTGGGAGGATCTAGGATCTGACCATAATGGCTACATGATTATGGGCAAATCACTTAAAACTTCCAGTGTCCTAAGCAATTATAAGTTACAGAGAGGCTGCAGATCCACTGGTGGAGGGACTTCAACAACTGGAATTACCCACACAGATAAAATCACTTATCTCTACCTCTCCAAAAGGATAAATTTTACAAATATTAGAACTGTCCAAAAGTAGAGTACATTGCTTTGTAAGGTAGTGAGGTTCCCATCAAAAGAGGTATTTAATTGGGGGCTGGATAACCGGATGCTTTTTGGAGACACAGTAGAAGGTATTCATGCTTGAGCAGGGACTAGATGATCTCTCAGATCCTTACTAGCTCTGAGATTCTGTTTCTAATTGCCCAAAATCACAATAGGTTATAATAAACCTGATAAGAATCACAAGACTAGAGTTATACATTTTATGTCTTCTTTTATATTTACTTATATACTTTACAAATATATTAAATGGAACATCTGTCAGAAAATTGATATTGATTAAAGCATAATCAAATTAGTTCAGTGCTATAGACAACCTGTCAAGAAAATACATTTTTCAGTTCAATAAACATTTATTAAGCCTCCATTTGTAAGGCAATGAGCTTGGCACTGGGGATACAAAGATGAAAAACAACATAATCCATAAAGCTCTCAACCCAGGCTTTCAAGGAGCCTGTAGTATAATTTAACCCAAACATCAAATCTTGTGCCAGGAGTAGGATCCTTTGTTTGAGAATCAGGCTGGTACATGAACACGTACCTGGATGTTTCCATATCTAGATCATAACTTGCTCTTGACGGTTCTGTGTATCTTTACAAAGTATCGCTCAGAGGATGACATGAGATCATTGAGATCATATTCAACATCAAAGGAAGGTTGCTTTTGCAAAACAATGAGTGCAGTCAGCAGTGCAAACTGTGCTGTTAACCCCCATATTTGATAGGTTGATTGATTTTGGGGATCCATGTAGCCAAAGCAATGAACAAGACAACGGTGACCAAAAATAGTTGAGTAAAAGGAATAGTATGTGTGTGGACTCAGGAAAAACTCCAGAGGCACCAGGAACACCTCACTCACTTCATGTGGATTAGGCTGGGCCTGGAATGAACTGTCTATAAATCCCACAACTGGGGTTATCATGGCACCATTCTGAAAGTGGAGCACAGCCAAAGAAAAATTAGGACAAAATGAATCAATAGGACTTTCCAACGTCTATCAAACCCGATAATATACCACTGTCAAACGTACTGAAGGAAATCATAAAAATGTACTGAGTCTGCTACATATCCATGCTATCTAATGTCAAGGGCTGAACAGCAAGCCTGTCTTTCATTTTTGATCAACTCTATTACACTCTTCACAATGCCTGTTCCAAACTTTTTTTCTCCTCAGGTACCCAACTCTACCTCCAGTTCCCTTTTTCTCAGCATAAGATCTGACATGAAAAGACCATCCAAACATGAGCTTTCCCACCTGTGCTCTTCCACACCCCCAAATCTTTCAATGTCTTCACCCATATCAAAGGAAGTATCCATTTTTATTGCTAAACTTTCTCCTCCATTTGTACTATTGATCCCATCATCCCCTTCCATTCCTCCAAGACCTTTCTCCATCAATCATAATGTCTTCCTCATGAATCTTCAATCTCTTCTTTTCTACCATAACTATGGAGGTAGTTAGGTGGTGCAATGGATGAGGCAATGGGCCTGAAGTTAGGAAGAACTGAGTTCAAATCCATCCTCTGACACTTACTAGCTGTGAGATCCCAGGCAAGTCACTTTACATCTGTCTGCCTCAGTTTCCTAGCACCCACCTCAAGGTGTTTTGAAGATCAAATAAAATAATATTTGTCAAGTACTTAATACAATGCCTGGCACTTAGCAGGTGCTTATTAACTGCTTGTACTCTCCATTCTCCACCCCCTCCCCCGTTAGAGACTCCTTCCCCTCTCCCTACAAATATGCTCAGGTCTTTTTTGTCCTTAGAAAAATCTTTTCTTGATCTTGGCACCTCATTAAATTATTGTCCTTTCTCCTCATTGTAAAATCACTATTTTATAACCCTTTGTAACTTACCTTCTAGTTTGATTGCTCTAGTTAAGTAACTTTCTCCAAGCTTCTCCAATACCTCCTTATCACTAAATCCAATCAGGGTTTTTTTCCCTGTTCTCATTTCTTTCACACTGCAGACAACTCATTTCCTTGAATTTTTCCCTTGGCTTTTATAGAACTACTCTTTCATGGTTCTCCTTTCAACTTTTTGTTGACCTGACTCTTTTGTTGCATTCTTGACCCTTAAACTTGGATGTTCCTTAATGTTCAATCTTAGACTTTTTTGTCTTTTATCTTCTCTCTTGATGATGCCATGGCTTCAACTATCACCTCTATGTAGATGACTCCTAAATCTATAACTTCACATCCAATTTATCCTCTGAGCTCCAGTCCTTTATTTCAGTACCTATACCTGATTATCTTGGAATAACTAGAATTCAGTATATTTAAAATTGAACTCCCTGTTGAAATTCTACCCATCCTTAAAGCTTTTTCTCATATGCCTACCATTCCCTATGTTCCAGAAAAACTGGACAGCTCTTCTCATCCTGCCCTTTCCTATCTCCTGATATTTCCTCTGACTGAAAGGGTCTCTTTCAAACCTCACCTTGGCCTGTTCTGATGGCACCTCATCCAAGAAGCCTTTCCTGAGTACCTTCTCCTAGCCTCTCAAAACCTCAGCTCCAGATGAACTTTTTCTGTCTTTAATCTCTTATTCCATGCCATTTGGATCTCTCTTATCCACTATTGTAACTTGTATTATAGTCATGTGTAGTTTTGTCTTATTTAATTGCTAGATTATGAGTTTCTTAATGGCAGGGACTGTATCTAATTTTTACCTTTGTATTTCCCTTAGAGCCAACTACATGTGATATTGAACATAGTTTGTATTTAATAAATTTTAAATGAAACCTAGAAGCTGTGTTTATTCATATTTTGGTTCCCAAACTAATCACTTGCTTTAGAAGTTGCACTCTAATTAGAGGCTGACATATGACATTGTATAAGTCAAGCATATTTTGTTAGATTTGTTTGAGAAGTTGGTTAGTTTTAATGAACTGCTGAGTCTCTGGGTAGAGGAGGAGTAAGGGATATATTTGGAAATGAAGGTGATATAAAAACAAAAGATATCCATAAAAATTTTCCAAAAAAGGAATTCAAGTATAATTGTGAAGATGCATGTCCAAGTCTTTAATTTCGTTCTTATTTCAAGTTTACCACACACACAGTGCTAGAAGGCACTACTGAAGTCACCTCATCCGACTCCATTTTATAGATAGAGAAAATGAATCACAGAATGGTAAAGTGATGTTTGTTAGAGAAACTTCAGTTATTCCCTTTCTGTTTTTTCCATCCTCTTTTCCACTCCCTTGACAACCACTCTACTATAGGTCCTCATTACCTCTTATCTATATTATTTCAGTAGCCTATGAATTAGTTTTCCTGCTTTCAATATCTCACCATTTAGTACACTTTGCATATACTACCCAAATAGTCGTCCTAATGCACAGATCTATGTCAAGACCTTGCTCTCTACTATCAAAAATAAACATTTAAATTTCTCAGTCTAGTATTCAAGGATGCAGTGTGAATTTGAAATATAGCCCTTCAGAGGTGTCAGAGGATTTATGTTCAAATCCTGGCTCTGCCATTACCTATGTGACCTTGGCATTTTGACGTTACAGATTTAGAACCAGGAGATTCAGAGGTCATCTAAACAAACCTCTTTATTTTATGTATGAGAAAACTGAAGCTGAAGAAGGTTAAGGGACATGTCCAAGGTCACAGAGCTGGTAACAGGAAGTCTCTTCTCCTTTCTCAGTTTTAGTTTCCTCATCTATAGAATGAAGGGGTGAGACTAAAAAACTCTAAGGTCCCATCCAAATAAAAATCTTCCAATATAACTTTGTTTTAGCATTATTTAATATTATTCCTCTCCATACGTTAGCACACTCTTGTTATAACTAAACTTGAATGATTTGTAAGTTTCCTTACATAATGTGAGCTTGCCTCTGTGCATTTGTTTATTCTGTTCTCTATGTATCAAGTGTCATTCTTTCACCTCTTCCTGCCACCACTCCCCTATATGGGTTGTATCCCCTAGTAGAATAGAAGCAACCTGAAAGCAGGCCTTTTTTACTTACTTTTTACTTAAAAAAGCATGTTTTTTTTTTACTTCTATATTAAGCACTTAGCACAGTTCTTGGCATGCAGTAAGCACTTGGAAAATATTCTTTCTCTCATTCTCTTTCTTTCTGTCTCTACTCATCCTCTATCTCTCTGTCTTTCCCTCCGTCTCTCCCTCTCTTCTATTTTCCTCCTTCTCCCTTCATCTGCTGTCATTGTACCTTTGCTTCAGGGTCCAAAATAGTTACCTACTTTCCCCTAAAGACTTCCCTATGCCAATTCCAAGCTAGAAATTCTCTCCTATTCCTTTGGGCTTTCAGAGTAGTTTTTAACCCTTTTTATGCAACATGATATTTGTTTTGTATTACAGTTCTATATGAACATGTCCCTTACTAAACCGTAGGTCAGAGACAAAGTTTTAATTAGCTTTCTGTCATCCAATACCAAGCAGAGAACCATTTACAGAATATACCTAATATTGAACCAAATCTGCCCTAGCCCTACTTATCTTTCTGAGCAGTAAAAGCAGAAAGAGAAGGTAGGGTCTTGTACTAGGCTTGGGGGGCAGAAAACCTCATAGAGCTCACAATCTGGTAGTAGAGACAGACATATACAGATAACTGCAATGTAAACTAGATTATAGTACATGATTAAGAGGAGATCAGTAGAAGAGGGAATCAATTTTACCCATAAACTATAGAAGGCTTCATAAAGAAAGTGGTGTTTGAACTGAGCCTTGAAAGATGGATAGGATTTTGACAGGCAGAGATGACTAGGAAGAGAACCCATTCTAGAAACAGAAAATAGAATAAATAGGGGCCTAGAAGTGAGAATATTGAGGTTGGTGAATAATCTGATTTGGATGGGACAAAGATAACACATCTGTGTAGTATACTGAGGTCAAGGTGGAGATGTAGGCTATGCTTTAATTGTGAAAGGCATTGAATGCTAGGTAAGGTAATACGGATTTATTTTGTAGGCAATGGACAGCAACAGAAAGGTTTTGGTTAGAGGAATAATGACTTTATTAGTCCTGAATATAAGGAAGACTGCTTGGGTAGCATGTGAAGGATAGACTGGAGAGAAGAGAGACTAGAGACAGAAAGATGACTCAGAAGACGTGATTACAATGTTGTACAAGTGAAAGGTAATAAGAACTTGAACTATCATACCAACAATGTGAGTAGATAGCTAGACCAGATGACTTCTAAGGTTCAATTTTAATACTAAAATAAAACAAATGAAATGAAAATCATAAGAATAATCTAATCCTCAAGAAAAATATGACAAACGAATAAAGAACTCCACAAGTTTTGAGTCTGCTAATTGTTCTCTCCTACCAGGACACTGGCTGTCTTCCAATTTCCAGACAGAATATGAATCTATCTGAATATACTAAATAATACAAATATTTCCTTTTAGCCATGATTGGGAAGCCCAGGCTGAGTGCCCAGAGTATGGGTGGTTGTATAACCAAACCCTCACAAGCAGCAATTTTTCAAAACAAATTGCTTAGAGTTGTTTTGTTCCCTGACCATCACCCCAAAAATCTGACACAGTCTGTCTTTGTCTTTTCTCCCACCCCTTCTGTATAAGGTCAGAGGTATGGATTAGGAATCAGGATACCTACTTCAAAGCCTGGAGATGACCCTCAGGCTCCTGAAGATTCTGCCAGTGGAATTAAAGTTCTGGCAGGTATGACTAAGTTGGAAATTCTGTCTGGTGACTGACTCTGTGTCTGTTTTTCAAGAACCAACCTAGCTAAGTGTGGAGAGAGCTGGCTATCAAAAGATTAATCTTTCTCAGTGGATACCACTCATGAATGCTATCTATGGAGCAGTTGTGATCTGTACTGTCTGAAGGAATAACCACATCAGTAAAATCCAGAATCATTTAAAGTATTAATACGTATAGGACCTTACATTTACTGCTACCGAATTTCACCACCTTAAAATATGAGTACATCTTGTGATCAGGACACAACTGAGGACAAAACTATTGGTTTCCGTCCATATTTTTTCCCCAAAGAAATGTAACAATTTTAACAGGAACAAAGGAAGCAGGAGCATGCAAAAAGCAACAAGTAAGGCTATTACTCTGGATTTAATTATGATCAATGAAATGGAGAAAAGACAAATGATGAAAGGTAACAGAAAAATTTGGGGGAAAGGGACTTTGACATATTAAAGTCTATAACAACAAAGGAAGAGAATGTTAGGCATGGTGTCATATGAGAGATGAAGTCCTAGACTGTCTTAGAAAGGTTCAGTCTTTACAAGAATATGGATTCCTTCCCCTTGGGTGAATCCTTTGTGGATGGTGATACTGCTTTGTTAAGAGTAATATCAGAACCATGGTCAGTGGTTGTGAAAACTAGTATCAATTGGTTCAGCACTGGGGCAGCGGACAGCACTACACAGTTCACAACTGAGAAGTTAGCATTTCAGCTTTGCCCTAGGATTATTTAAGTAGGACCAAGGGCTATTACCCTTTAAGTACCTTAAATGCAATGGAAGTGTGCCCTCTAAGTCTTCCTGGTCTAAGACCAAGTCTCTAGACCATGCATAACCAGGTCCTTTAACCTATCCTCACATGAATAGAGGGTCTATAGCTCCCTCACCATTCTACTCTGGATGCACTCCAGTTTGTCAATATCCTTCTTAAAACGTTATGCTCAGAGCTTAACCAATATTCTAGATGTAGTCTAGCCAAAGTAGGGACAAGTAGGACTATCACCTCCCTCATTTCGGATGCCATTCTTTTTAGAGAGGGGATATCACAAGATAAAGTTGGAAAAACACAAAATTCTAGCCCATACCTTGTTTATACGTGGCACAAGACGACAGATGACTTCTACTTGGTGTGGCTGAAGTCCAACTTCCTCCTCAGCTTCCCGGAGAGCCGTGGCGACTTCATCTGTGTCTCCTGGCTCACTCTTACCCCCTGGGAAGCACACTTCCCCTGGTGAGGTACGTAACTAAATATTAAGTGAAAATCACTAGATTATATTTAGCTACATAGCTATTCATATGGCAGAAAATAGGAATTTTTGTCTTTTATGCTTCAAATCCTCTACTACAGGCCCACTGACAAACTGTGTATCGGTCATTAGTGGACCAGGTAGCTCAATGGAAGTAGAAAGTTTCATCACCAGAGAGCTGGCCACGAAACTCTTGAATAGTTTTAGACAATATTTATGAAGATTGGCTGCTAAGATGGCTAAATTTGGTGGAGAGAGCACGGGCATTAATAAAAAATATTGTTCTTGTGAAGTGTTCAAGAAGTACAGGAATGCTGCACAATCTATGTGCCTGATGCACACAGCTGTAATACGTCGGAGGTGGAATATGAAGCCAGGTCTTCCTGAGTTCTAAATCTGTAATCTCAAAATGACAAGGTCACATATGTAATGCCAAGCTGGGATGTGAACATAAATCCTCTGACATAACTCTAGGGCTGTATTCCAAATCCACAATGCATCCCTGAATGCTACACTGAGAAAATTGAAACATTTATTTCCTGACTTCAAGCCCAGCACTGTATCCACCCTGCTTCTATTAACTTAAAGCAAGTTAAAGAAATATACTTTTAAAATATATCACTAAGTTAAGAAAACAGTGCTATGAGAATGCAAAAATGGTAATCCCTATCATAATCCTTTGAAAAAGGACAGAAAAAGTCAGAAGTAATTAGATAGTAAGAAATGGAAATTTTCAGGTAACAAGTATTTATGAAAGTTCTACTATTTGCAAGGCTCTGTTGAAGAAATTTTTTTTAAAAAACCAGTTACATTTCTATAATAGTTTCCACTTTTACAAAACTTTCCTAAAAAGATCTGAGTTAAGGACTGCAGTATGATTATACCCATTTTACAGAGAAGAAACTGTATTGAGAGAGGGAAAGTGTTTTGGCCAAGGTCAAAGGGCTAATAAGTGGCAGAGTCGGAACTTTAGACTCAGGTCTCCTGATTACAAGGCCACTACTATAGCCACCATACCATAGCATAACCTCAAAATGTAATGCATGTAATGAATCCAGACAAAAAGGGGACAGGTGGTGATTTGTCCAGTTTGACAGAAATAGAGAAAATATGAAGGACAGTATTAAATCAAGCTCTAAGATGAGTTAGGCCCCTATTTGTAGAGAGCCAAGACTTCATTAAATAGAAAGTAGAAAGCCACTGAAGGTATTTGGGCAGCAAAGTGACATCATTAGATCTGTGTACTACAAAGATTATTCTTTTTAAAGTTTTTACATGTTTTCATACCACATTTATTTCTGCATACCCCATCCCCACTAGCCCAGTGAGCTTTCCCTTGTAATAAAGTTGTGGGGGGTTTTTAATGTTGCAAAACCAAATGATACAGTAGCTAAGTTTCATAGCCTATGCAATATTAGTAAAATTATCTTTGCAGATTTGTGAAGGATGGGACTATAGAAAGAGGCTGGAGGCAGAAAGGCCAGTAAGGAGTCTATTATGATAGTTCAAAAACATAGTCTAAATGATGTGGCAATTGCTCTAGCTCTGGGCCACCTTTCCTGGCAGAGAGGAAGAGGCAGAGAAGAAAAGACATTGGATGAGGAGTCAAGAGACCTGGCTAGTAGTGATTCTCTTCCTCTCTCTGCAAAATGAGTTGTTTAGACTAGATGATCCCTAAGGTCCTCTCCAGCTTTCATATTCTAATGGCTCTAGGATCATCAGCCTGAGACAGTAGAGGAATGGTTGTAGCAGGGAAGGTTATTGCTCTGGGAACTGTATGAAAAATGACAGAAGTCTTACAGGATAGTATAGTATGAATGCTGACTGAGTTAAGACTTAGAATGTCTTCCATCTATCTTTGATGTTCTCATTTTCTAATTAGCTACAATATAACATTATAATTGAAATGCTGAATAAAGGCACATATCCTGTGACTAGAGGTATCTAAACCTGCAATGTAAGATATTATCAGGATGGTGAATGAAAAGACTACTGGAAGTGGAGGAAGAGGACCTAAGTTCAAGTTCTAGCTCAGTCACTTACTACTTACATGAATTTGGACAAGTCACAACTTCCTTGGGCCTAATTTTCCTCATTTGTAAGTTTTCCTCTCAGGTCCCTTCCAGTTCTGTATCTGCAACCTATGAAAGGCAGCATGGTTCACTAGCGGAGTGCTAGACTTAGAAGATCTGGATTTAAATCTTGGTTGTGATTTCTCTCCTCTCAGTAACAAGATGGTGGACTGCAAGTGGGGAATGTTTCATATACTGTGAGATATGGCTGCTCTGTAAGCTGGTTTAACTTTTTCTTTGCTAAATGGGTTTTACGAGAAGGAAGTGGTCATTGCAAAGTAATTGTGAGGTAAAAAGCAAAATACATCAAACAAGTTTTAAAACTTGGGTCTCTTACATCCTACTTACGTGACTACATGACAATGCACTTCACTGCTCTGGTCACCCATTATTCATTTTACATAAAAACAAAATAATACTTGCATAACTTCCTTCACAGAGGGATTGTGAAGATCAAATGAGGATAAAAAGAATGTATTATGCAAACCTTAAAATTAGATAGAAACGGAAGCTACTATCATTATTGTTGTTTGGAAAGTCAAGTTTTTTTAATCTCACTTAATATTTTCCCAATTACATGTAAAAACAATGTAAACATTCTTTTTTCTTTTTTTCAAATTTTGAGTTCCAAATTCTCCCCCAGCTAATTGAGAAGGCAAGCAATTTGACAGAGGTTATACATGTATAGTCATGCAAAAAAACATTTCCATGTAAGTCATTCTGTGAAAGAAAACACATTAAAAAAAAAAAAGTAAAATAAAGAAAAAGTACCTTTGATCTGCATTCAGACTCTACCAGTTCTTTCTCTGGAGATGGTCAGCACTTTTCATCAAAGTTGTACAGAACTGTCTTGGATCATTGTATTGCTGAGAATAGCTAAGTTACTCATAGCAGATCATCATATGACATTGCTGTTACTGTGTACAATGTTCTCGTGGTTCTGTTCATTTTACTTTGCATTCATTCACATAAGTCTTTCTAGATTTTTCTGAGGGCACCCTACTCATCATTTCTTAAAGAACAATAGTACTCCTTCACAATCATATACAACTTTTTGTACACATAGGTCCTTTTCCTTTTTGTTTTTTATCTCTTTGGGATACAGAGCTTGTAGTGAGTACTGCTTGGTCAAAGAATATGCATGCTTTTATAGCCTTTTGGGCATAGTTCCAAATTGCTCTCCAGAACGGTTGAATTAGTACATTAGTGTCTTAATTTTCCCACATCTCCTCCAACGTTTGTAATTTTCCTTTTCTGTAATATTAACCATTCTGACAGGTGTGAGGTAGTAGCTCTGAGTTGTTTTAATTTGCATTTCTCATCAATATTGATTTAAAATTTTTTTAATATGACTATAGATAGCTTTCATTATTTTGTCTGAAAGCTACCGGTTCACATCCTTTGAACATTTATCAATTAAGGAATGGCTCTTGTATCTATAAATTTGACTCAGTTTTCTACATGTTTGAGAAATGAAGTCTTTATCAGAGAAACTCACTGTAAAATTTTTTTTTTCACAATAATGATTACCAACTAGGTATTTTCTTCCACTCTATTTTCCCCATTTATCCTACTTTCTCTCCTTTTACCATGTCCATTCTCAAAAGTGTCTTGCTTCTGACTTTCACCTCCCCCAAACTGCCCTCCTTTCTATCAGCTCTTCCTCCCTCCCATCCTCTTCCCTTCCCATTTTCCTGTATGGTAAGATAGATTTCTACACCCAACTGAGTGGGTATTATTCCCTCTTTGAGCCATTTCTGATGACAGTAAGGTTCATGCACTCCCCTCCCTGTTTCCCCCATTTCCCCCTCCACTGTAAAATCTCTTTCAGGCCTCTTTCATGTCAGATAACTTATCCCATTCTACCTCTCCCTTTCCCCTTCTCCCAATGCATTCTTCTTTTTCATCCCTTAATTTTTTATTTTTTTAGATAATCATGCCATCACATTCAACTCATACCTCTACTTTCTGTCTATGTAGACTCCTTCTACCTGCCCTAATAATGAGAAAGTTTTTAGGAGTCATTTCCTATGAGGAACATAAACAAGTTTAAAGTTAACAAATTCCTTATGATTGTTCTTTCCTGTTTACTTTTAATGCTTCTTTTGCATCTTGTACTTAAAAGCCAAATTTTCTATTCAGCTCTGGTCTTTCCATCAGGAATGCTTTAAAGTCCTCCATTTTGATTCAAATTGAAGGGTGGAGCCAAGATGGCGGAGTAAAAGCAGTGACTTGATTGAGCTCTCTCCCAAATCCCTCCAAATACTTGTAAAAAATTCTACCTCCAAACAAATTCTAAAGCAGCTGAACCCACAAAAAGACAGAATGAAACAAATTTCCAGCCCAAGACAACTTGGATGATTGATCTGAAAGGTATATCATGCCAGGTGGGGAGAGGAACGTAGTTTGGTGTGGGCACGCAGGCAAAATAGGCCTCAGTGAACCTGGAGCAGCCCTCAGAGGACTGAATCAAGGGGAGCTGTGGGGGTTTCCAGACTTCTCAAACCATGAACGCCAAAGACAGCTTAGGTCAGTGGGAAAAGTCTATGACTGTGGTGAGAGAGAAGCTTGGTCCCAGTCCCAGTCCCCGCATGTGGCCCCAGGGTGGCGGCTGCTTCCAGAGCTACCGGCCCACTGACTGAGGGGGAATCGATTAGCTGATCAGAGAGGGACTGCAGGGATCTCTTTGCTGGTGCTAAGGCAGGATTCTCTTGCTTTGCCTGTGCTTAGATTTGGGTAACAGTTCTGGGTGGCGGTCCTGGGGTGTGGAGGAGTACTGGCATGGTGGAGCTTGTAGTGGTGGTGGAGAGGAAATCCTCCTCACAGTTCCAAGGTAGAAGAGTGCTTGTGGACACTCAGAGACCACAACACAGGTCAGGAAAGGAGTAAACACCTTGCCCCTTATCATACCACCTTGGAAGAACT